TAATTGATTTGTGTTGGAACAAATAAATCACCCAAGATTCTCATTAAAAAATCAGTCAAGTTTGGTAAGGGAAAAAATCATGGTTTGGAGTACATTTAGTATGGGGGTGTGTGAGAGCGTGCTACATCAACAGCCTGAGGTATCAAGACATGTGTGCTGCCCATTACATTATAAACCACGGGAGAGGGCAAATTCTTCAGCAGGATAGCGCTCCCTCTCATACTTCAGCCTCCACATAAAAGTTCCTGAAAGCAAAGAAGGTCAAGGTGCTCCAGGATTGGCCAGAATCGTCAGCAGACATGAACATTATTGAGCAAGTCTGGAGTAAGTTGAAGGAGGAGCCATTGAAAATGAATCCAAAGAATCTTGATGAACACTAGAAATCTTGTAAGATCGCTTTCTTTGCCATTCCAGATGACTTTATTAATAAGTTATTTGAGTCATTGCAGAGATGTATGGATGCAGTCATCCAAGTTCATGACAGTCATACACAATATTAATTCTTTTTCCACTGCACCATGACTTTATATTTTATACTGTACATTATTTCTGTTAAGTGACACGATGTTTGTCTAAGCAAAGTCAGACCTTGCTGTCCTAATTAAATAATTAAAAATCAAGGCATGATCATATTTTATTTACACTGTTAGACATTTCAAAGGGTTTTTACAGTAACTTACTGGCAACACTGTTGCCAGTAAGTTACTGTATTTTAGATTTACAGTATACAACTGTAAATCCGTTTACAGCATGTTACCGTAGTGTCTGAAAATGGTTAACTACTGTAAAAACCTAAGTTAACAGTTAGCTACTGTAAACCTTTTAATTTTGTCCTAAATATTTTATAATATAATTTTATTAATATTATTTTAATACTATAGACCTAAAAAAGACACAATTACAAAATATTAACAAAATAAACACTCTTTATTTAAAACATTGGAGATGCTTAAAACAAGCTTAAAAATGTGTAAAAACATTACATTTCAATCATTCAAAATATTTTATTTTAAGAAAAAAAAACATTGAAAATGACAAAGCACATTAACATACATGTACAAAACTAATTGAAGTGTCTGACCTGCATATTGTTGAGAAAAAAAAACAATTGTACTAAGTACTACTGACATTAAACCAGACACAATTACAAAATATTCCATTCTTTAAAACATTAATAATGCTTAAAGCATTTAAGGAAAATGTGTGAAAATTACATTAAGCAATAAAATCAACACATTAAAAATAAATAAATCACACAAAGCACTAGAACATACATGTACAATAAAAATTTAAACTTCTGAATTGCATATTGTTGGAAAAATAAATATTTGTAACTATTAGCAGACTCAGAAACAACCCAACTTTAAAATAGTACTAGTTCTGGTGTCAAATGTTCAACAAGGTCTGAATTCACATGTTCAAATGCAATTCATCTTTATTTCTATTGCACTTTTACAATGTAGATCAATGATGTCAAAGCAGCTTAACATAGAAGTTCTTGTAAATTGAAGCTGCTTCAGTCCAGTTTTCAGAATTGAAGCAGTAAATGTCACTGCTGAAAGTCCAAACACTGAAGAGCAAATCCACCGATCCACCAATCGTAGCCAAGTGATCCAGTGGCGACAGTGGCATGGAACAAACTTCACCAACTGACGAAAGTGTAGAATAAAATCCCTTGAGAGATACCAGGCTCAGTTGGGCACGACCAGTTCTCCTCTAGCCAAACTTGTGCAAGGCCGCAGTCTAGGCACCAGAGGCTTGAAAGTTCACCAGCGGGTGGTCAGGCTGGCCCATTGGATCAATGCGGAAACTCATTGATCACGTGTGTCTTTCAGGATTCACTCCTCCATGACCACCACAGCATCTGGTCAGGATTTGGCCCAGTCCAGGATTATGAAGAACTCTGGATAAGGAGAAACAGACTAACATAAGCATAGAAGAAGCTTGTTTAAAAAAAATAAATCATATACTGGTTAATTATTTTGAAGCATGGCAGCTAGGTTGGGCTAGTTTTCAGCTGGTTACTGGCTCCTGCTCATAACCTGCTCACTACCATGTTTAAAAGATAACTAACCAGAATGTCCTGTTTATTTTTTTCCCTAACAAGGTTTAACAAAAACATTGTAGCATTTGTGATGGGTTGATTCACTGCAGGACAGATTAGACTATTTGTTTTATGTATTCCTAATAAACTAAAACTGACTGAATACTGATAAAACTATTGAGAGTGTCTCACCTAATCCAAGTTCTCAGTTAGCTGGTGAAAGAAGGATAACTCACTGTTGTTCATGGTTGTCATTCTCTTCACTACTTCTCCTGCTATCTTCTGGCTCACTCTGGTTGTTGCTGTGCATTTTGTTTCATCCTCTGAAATTATTTATACAAAAAAATGTATTATTTTATTTATTACAAAATATTTAGGCAACATGAAATGGGGAAAAAGACATTTAATACATAGACAAATGCATGTATCCCAATACTAATTATTGTATTTTGAAATGTCTGACCCATGACAGACCTCAATCTGCTCAAAAATATTATAAACAAAGATGAAAAAAAAAACTACTAAATGGTTTAATAAAAAAGGGAAAACAATTTTTTATTTAGCTAGCAACTAAACATGTGACACATTTTGTATTAAAAGTAACGTTACTATATTGAGAAACAAATAGATGTACAGTACTTACTGTTGTATGAGGTCCAGTTTGCACAGGCAGGCTCCCAGTATTCAATATTGAGACCATAAAAAAGCCAAAAATACAGATAAGAATACCATGCTACAATCCACAACCTCCACACAACTTTTTTTATTTGTTTACCTTGGTTGCTTACTGGTCTTGCTTATTTTTTAAGCATAAGGCTGTGCTGATCAAGATGTTCCTCTGAAATGCTGTTTGTTTCTTCAGACAAAACCTGGTGCTGTGCTCGTGCCATATCTAAACAGAAAAAAATATAATGGTAACAATTATGTTAAACCAAATGTCAAGAGTTGTGATAAAAAAATAATTAGCAAACAATAAATAGCAAAAAGGTGGTTATTAGCATAATGCATAGAGGTAAAATTGGTTTTATATTAGCAGATTCAGACTTCCCCCTTAATAATTTAATTTCATAAAAGTATTATTTGCAAACCTAAATAGCGAAATCATTTTAGCAGCTAATAACTATCAAAGTATAACGTGCTCAAGGTCAAATAAACAATGTTAATGTTGATTTCAAGTGATACTGGCATGCTAATTCTGATCGAATATTCAAAGTAACATGGTAAACAGTATAGAGTCTTCTAAATGAACGAATGTGCGAATATAAAACCAACTTTACCTCTATGCATATTGTAACGTTATAGATTTACGTTAACGTTATAGGTTACGTCGCGATGTTATTTTCTCAAGCTAACGTTATAAGTTACTCTAAACCAGAGAAAAATAAGTTCACATCTAATATATATAGTATAAATCAATATAAGTTAAACGTTGCACGTTAAAATGAGTTTGAGTCCAATTCAGTATAAACTTAGCTCAGTTTAGCTAACAGTTAACATTACCATTTTAAGATCGCTTCAGCCAATGTTGCCGAGCAAACAAATGCTAATAGAGGTGCTCAAATCAATGTCGAGTGTTGTCAGCACAGACAGACGCGCTTTTACCTGGATTATTTGTTGGTCTTTCATTCATATTCTTCTGGGGGAAAACACTCTCTGCCGGACCGTTGTCTCGTGCTAAGTGTCCTCCAAAACTGTCTTCGTTACCTCTGGTTCCCTCCTAAACCAAAACCCGCTGCAACACCGGTTCCTATGTAAATAAATAAAAAGATATGACGAGAACAATGGCTAATAGTCATAAACAGTCTTATTTAAAGTAATAGTAGTGTTAATGTAATAAATTAAATAAAGGTAACATCTTAATAGATGATATATTTCTCAAATGGGCGAAATAACGCCAAGCCAGAGAAAATAATAATAGCCAACTTTATACTTTACTTTGTTCTATTCTCGTCCACAAAACATTCTGTAAAATGAAACACTGCCTCAGCTTACCAGAGTAAAGTTTGTTAAATCCAGTATGTTCTTCAGGCACACTAATAAATTGTCCTCCAGAATTGCTCCAGGGTCCTCAGGCAAAATGTGGTGCAGAGTAGTCGAATCGCCGCAAGGTGGCGTTGAAGCAGTTGTGGAAAATACAGTATAATACACGAATTTTTACAAATACAGTACATCGCTGTATATGTTGTTCGACGTCACACTTAATTCCCATAATGCAACGGTAAATACAGTTATTTACCGTGAAAGGAATTTGCAGTATTACACTGGGTGAAATACAGTAAATAACTGTGTAATTTACAGAAATGTCTAACAGTGTAGGTAATATTGAGGCCTTTGCCTTTCATATAAGCCACTTCTGATACCAACTGATCTACTAGAAGTCAAGTTATTATTTGTTATACCTAAAACTTAAGAATAACAAATAATAACTTATTTGATAGGTGACAAGACTTTTGTCAGGTAGTGTAAGTGGATTGAGAATAAAACAAATAAATTGTTCTCAAAACAAGTTTGAATAAATAACAAACGTCATTTTTTGGAGTGTACAGTGCAGCCCATAATCTAAATGACATAGAACCTGTACATCCTGTAAAGTCCCTGTAAAGCATGTATTTGATAAGGTTTAATAACTGCATTTTGTGCTTTCTCTATCTCATCTAAAAGGCCTTTAAATAGCAAGATGCTGTGCTTCTTTTTTAATCCTGAAGGCTGAAATGAGCACAAGCAGGAACGACCTTTGGGACCTACAGTGCCAATGCAGGAATGAGGAAACTCAATTTGGAAAGTTAGAAATGCTTGGGTTGCTGTTCCTTCCTTGCCACCAGCGAAATACACATGCACAAAAAAGTGAGTCATTTCTGCCCCTCATAGTGATCTCCAAAAAAAAAAGAAGTCCAGGCCTCTATGGTGAGCGCACAATGCTCTGCTTCCATAAACACTTCATTAGCAATTCAATTACCTGCGTGCTGACAGATCTGGTGCCATCTGTTGCATTCACCGTCAGGTTGTAATGGGATTTCTGCTCTGCGTCCAGCGCTTGGGCCACAATCATTGTCCCGCTCGCCTTCCCCACCTCGAATCGACTGTCAGAATTACCACCTGTTGAGAGGAGGTTTTCAGCACAAGCAAAATAGACAGGAAATTAGACGGCCATCATCGCAAGTTAGCCAGTTGAAGACAGGAGAGAGAGAAAAAGAGAGAACTGCACAGGTGGCAAAAACCAGTGTCACGTGTGTGCTTTTGCAGCAACTGTTTGACACTTTGAGTGTGATCACAAAAATGGCTGACAGACATGCAGACTACCATATCATTGCCCTAGCGCTTAACATATATGACTATATTATTGCTTAGTGTTACAAAGTGATAACAAATAATAGTGTCCACAATAAATATAGAAATAAATACAAGCAAATATTATTATATTATATTATATTATATTATATTATATTATATTATATTATATTATATTATGTCATGTCATGTCATGTCATGTCATATTATATTATATTATATTATATTATATTATGTCATGTCATGTCATGTCATGTCATATTATATTATATTATATTATATTATATTATATTATATTATATTATATTATATTATATTATTAATTCATTTTCTTTTCGGCTTAGTCCTTTTATTAATCTGGGGTCGCACAGAAGAATAAACCACCAACTTATCCAGCACACACTTAATGCAGCGAATGTCTTTCCAGCCGAAACCCAACAATGGGAAACACCCATACACACTCATACACTATGGTCAATTTAGGTTTTTCTATTCACCTATACCACATGTCTTTGGACTGTTGGGGAAATCAGAGCTTTATTACATTATATTATATTATATTATATTATATTATATTATATTATATTATATTATATTATATTATATTATATTATATTATATTAATTTGATTGTGATTACTTTTTTGCTAAAGAATTATACTAATAAAAATAAATGACCAATGTCTGTCCAGATTAAAAAGTCAACCAAAGCAGTTTTTATTTTATTTTATACAAAATTTGATTACCATTATTTTTTTTCTGCAGTTATTAATAGTTAGAGAATTAGGTTCACAAAACAAATCTGCAGGTCTGTAGCCAGCCTGCTGAAAGGGGTGCTTATTTTTTCTCAAAAAGTAAACGTTTTTGCAGTTATTCACCTCCTTTTCTATTTAATCATGATATTTAAATACTGCATTTTGCGACTATTTCTAGCTGAATTAATTGCCGTATGGTCATCAAATCTACATGTTTTGATGTACCAAAAACATTTCGTAAACATTTACAACAAAGAAATAAAAAAAATCTATTTTAAAAATAATTTTATCTTAATAAACAAATTTATCATAATACATTGTTAGAAAAAAATAGGTTTAAATAGTTTTAAATTAAAAACGTGGCCTATTATCATTTATTAAGCAAATAACAAACTGACCAGCATATTCAACTTTTCACAGTCAGAATTTGGCCATTTGAAAACAAAAGATTTTAACATAATAATAATAATAATAATAATAAAAATAATAATATAAAAATAATAATAATAATGTAGAGCTTCACGATTTTTCTAGCCTCTCTTTAAAAAAGTACATTCGAATATTCATGGATAACAACAATAGCCAGATTAGTAATAAAACTAATTTTAATATGGGCTACTTTTGGTGCTTCACACCTTTTTATTCGTCATTTCTTGTTTCAAAAATAGTAGATTTTGGAATTGGCACAAGGAAAATCTAATACTTAATCAGTATTTCAACTTATTTTGGCATTTAACATTTAAGATTGCTGGCAAAAACCAATAATTATTAAAAAAAAAAAAAAACATACTTGCCAATAGTTAATTATTTATATATTAATGTGAATGTTGAGTACACATTCCTCACTTGATTTCAGCAATTTTATGCTCCTTTAAATAATTCTTATTACACCAATGTACCAGTCATCCTGCACGTATGATCTTGCCAGCAAGCCCTGAATCATCAACTTGATTATTTGACCAAACATAAATATAACAATAATAATAATAAAACACACACACATGAAAGAAAATGAGAGCGCAGGGTCTTCAAAGTGAACAACACTAAGTGCATAGGCTGGCAATGAAAAAAGTCATTCTTTTTGTATGCACTAGGTGGACATACATAAATCAATTTGTTGTAATAGCATAAATGTAACTCTTTCATTGCCAGCTTCTGTGCCCTCAGCAAGAAAGAATCAAAACTCAGGACGTGGTGCAACCAATGTGAAACAGTCACGACACAGCACAAGTACAAAGGCACATGACAGATCCCATAAAGGCAGTATTAGGAGATCTGCGGCAGATACCTTCTGCAGTGCAGTTCAGGTCGCAAGCCATCTGAACGATGTAAAACAGCTCTTTAGCCGCTATGTCCTCTTCCAAAGCGAAGAAGAGGCAAACAAGAGGAAGAAAGCAAAACCCAAACCATTCCAGAATAAAAGGAGAAGAGGAGGAAAAGAGAGAGAGAAAAGTAAAGTTTGTCAGTGACAGATTGGTTAAAAGATAAAGGGACAGGGAGAGGATGCGAGCTACTGTAGTATTATTATTAAGAATAGTTCTACTGAGAAGATTAAGACAAAGATAAAGCTTATATCATGCAAAGACTTTTCATCTAAAAAGTTTGATTAGAAGATTTTATCAATTCAGCTTGTTAGAATGCAAGTTTGAGCATGTAAAGTCTGTCAAACAAACGGCGTACCTGTTATTTCAAACCAGACTGGTGTGTCGACAGGCTCCAGGCTGATGACCCCGAGCATGTGGGACACGGTGTCACTCTCCATGACAGAAAAGGTGTAAAAGGGCTCATCGAATACCAGGGGGACTGTGCTCGGCTCCGGCTTGGGGATCCATTCGATGTGTAGACGGCAGGTGGCCGATTTCTGGGGTCGGCCATTATCCACTGCTTTAATCTGGGGGTAAGTGTTGAATAAAATGTAAAACCAGTAACACTATAGCTTAAAATAAATGAAAGGCTTTAGACATTTGCATAGCAGACTTTAACCCAGCGGAGGTCTTTTATCCACTCTTCGAAAACTGTAAAGGGTGGATTAACATTCATCATAAGATCAATGATCAGATGTGCTGTTATTTGTAACTTAAGGTGGTTTCTAAAACAAAATCTGGTATTTTCATTCTCAAATATATCCAGACCTTTACATTTTCGCAGCTGTCGCTTCCTGTCATTTATAGGAAGGCATTGACTGAGTGATTAACAGCTGATATTATCACATCCATTCCATGCAGTTAAAAAGCAGTGGGCCAATCAGAAAAGCTTTAAGGCATTGCGGGCTTTTTTTATACTGCAGCGAGTTGACTTGTCAACAGTTTTAAACTATTTCTGAGCACTGCACTTAGCTCCCAAAGTTTAAGGTCGCATGGATAAAATTTTGGGCGCATATTCAACCAAAACGGTCACAATTTCGAGCCCTGCAATTTCAAATTCAAGCAGGTTCAAGCACTTTGTCCGAAATCCAAGCACTTTTCTAACCTTGAAAACACTATATTAAAATCAAGCATTTTCCAGCACCCGTATGAACCCTGATTAAAACTATTGCTTAAAATTAATTAACCTGTTAATATCAAATAAACAAACAACAATGGTTTCATTGAGCTTATGATAAGATTTAACAAAGCATTCCATTTGTCTGTGAATAATTCTGTTTGGTATTGTTAGTGGTTTCTCACATCTTAAATTTAAATAACAAGTTAGAACTTAATCTGAATATAGGAAAATTGTATTTTTATTCCCCCAAAATCCGTTTTTTTTTTTTTTTTTTCTCATTTGAATGCTTCTGGACTTAAGAATAAATAAATAAATACATAAATAAATAAATAAACAAATAAATCGAATTAAACCTGCCATTTATCTAGGTTTGTTGTTTCAAAGACAGTAAGGCTTTCTAATATGTTTACATAAAATCACAACAGTTTCTCTTAGAAAAAAATGCTGGTAAAGTGTCTCCACACTAAATGAGAAACTAAATATTCACGCAAGTAAATTATATACAAAGTGGACGCAGATGCATGAAAAGAGTTTTTACTACATGAAATTACTACCAGGGGGTGAAAATGATGTGGAATGCATGATTTGTTTGCTACGACATGAAGTTTGCCTCAATTGAGTGTTCTCGATTAAAAAATTTTCCTCGGAGGGGTGACTTATCAAGAGTGAGCGATGTGGTGCTGTGCATTTGGTGTGATCCCACCATCAGATTAGCTCTGGAATAAAAGTAAATGTGTTCAAGTCCTCAAATAATAAGATAGCAGAGGCTGGCAACACCAACGTGCAACATTCCATCATTCATTTTCTTTTCGGCTTAGGCCCTTTATTTATCTGGGGTCGCCACAGCGAAATGAACTGACTGCCCAGCATATGTTTTACACAGTGGATGCCCTTCCAGCTGCAACCCATCCCTGGCAAACAACCATACACTCTCATTCACACACATACACTACAGAATATTTTTGAGCCTACCCAATTTACCTGTACCACATGTCTTTGGACTTGTGGGGGAAACTGGATCGCCCAGAGGAAACCCATTTGAATGCTGGGAGAACATGCAAACTCAAACAGAAATGCCAACTGACCCAGCCGAGGCTCGAACCTGTGACCATCTTGCTGTGAGACAACAGCACTACCTACTGTGCCACCGCATTGCCCACCATGCAACATTCATTCATTCGTTTTCTTGTCGGCTTAGTCCCTTTATTTATCCATGGTCACCACAGTGGGATGAACCGCCAACTTATCCAGCACGTTTTTACGCAGCGGATGTTCTTCCAGCTGCAACCCATCTCTGAGAAACCACCATGCAACATTTATATTCAAATATTAACATTTGGCTAAATATTCTGTCCATATTACGATTTAATTAGGTGGAATTATTAGTCCAAAACTTGAAAAATCTGTGACATTTCACATTATACAGCTTACTTTGATGATATTGTTGGATTTTAAGAATAAACCCCAGTTCTGCATTACAGAATGAATAGAGCTCTATAAACACTATTAATAAGTGCTAGAGAAAGACTGGCAGCAGAACACCTGTCTGTGTGGCGTTTGGAAAGCGACAGATGTTAGATAATGAAAGAATGGGAGGTCTGGCAAAAAAAAAATGTCACCAGGCACATGGGCGGCAGGAAGTTCACTTTCCAGTCATAAAACATCAATCAGACGGCCATTCAAGAAAAATGTAGTGCGTGTCAAATCTGAGATCTCAGGTTTCTACATTCCAAGACACCTTAAATGCTGTAACCTAAGCTAGTAAGCAAAAACATATGGAATAAAACGATCCACTAAGATCAACTTTCTGATCTTTCCAAGAATCAAGCACAATCACAAATGACTATGTACAGTTGAAGTCAGAATTATTAACCCTTTAAATTATTAGCCTTCCTGTTTATATTTTCCCCCAATTTCTCTTTAACTGAGAGAAGATCTCAACACATTTCTAAACATAATAGTTTTAATAACTCATCTCAAATAACTGATTTCTTGCATCTTTGCCATAATGACAGTAAATAACATTTTATACAATGGTTTGTTCTGTAGACTGTAGAAAAAAATAACTCTAAAAAAATATTGGTGTCTAATAATTTTGACCTTAAAATGTTTTTAAAAATTATAAACTGTTTTTATTCTAGTCGAAATCAAACAAATAAGAGTTTCTCCAGAAGAAAAAAATATTATCAGACATACTGTGAAAATTTCCTTGCTCTGTTAATCATCATTTGGGAAATTCAAAGGGGGACTATTAATTCTGACTTCAACGGTATATGTGGTACAAACAAATGTGTGTGTACTTACCGTTAGGATGTCATAATCTACAGCAGAGGAAAGCTTCTTGGAGTAAACCATGCCAGTTTTGGGCTCGATGAAGAACTTTCCCTGTTCGTCTCCTTCCTCGATGCTGTAGGAGATCTCAGCATTAGGTCCTTCGTCTTTATCTGAGGCGATGACACGATACACGGGATCTCTTTTAAGAGCACGCTCTTTCTCTGGCTTCTCCCTTACAGGAAGTTTGATTTTGTAGACCTTCTCCATAAACTGTGGACTGTTGTCGTTCTCGTCCAAGACTTTCACAATGACTCGGACTGTGGTGGACTTCGCAGGAACGCCTTGATCAGAAACTGTGATCTGTAAGATTGAAGAATGCAATACTATAAGTGTAACTTCTAGTGTTGTCATGTTTATCAGTTTCAGGTTAAACAATGGTAAATTTATTGATGTTAGCATTACAATTTCAATTTTTTATTATCATGAAAACCTTTGAAAACATATATGTTATATCTAAAAATTATAACTGTTGATTAATTTCCAAATTTAAATATTCACAGTAAAATCCAATAGCACTTGTGTGTGACGCCAACCTGATTTCACCAAGTAGGACATGTTCCTGCATTTACTATGTTGATCCGGGAACAACATTACAATAACAATGAGAATTAAGGGATACGTTTACAGTTTATGTTAAGTTTAGGCTTACAGTTTAAGCACTTCTATATGATTGTTATCCAAGTTTTATTCGCCTCTGATTTTGGGAATAATTAACAGTTATTGTTGGGTTTAGGGGTAGAGAATAGGTATGGATTACATTTTTAAACAAAAATATGTTCCAGGATCAATAGATGTTAATCCAGGATCGCATCATACTTGGCAAAATCATTATGCGCAACATTGCAATTGGCTAAAGGCTGTTATGTAAATGCATGTTTAGGCAGTTTATAAAACTATATTTTTATATTAACAGTTGAATAATGTAATATTCCTTTTATGTAAAGTGTGTGCTGCACACTACTGAAATAATCGTAAATCAATTCACAATATCCAACTAGAAAAAAATAAATTTGTTATTTTCATCAAAAGGCACAACTGGTTTTGGCTTTTATAAAACAGCTTTATGCAATTTTGTGACAAATAATATAAACAAGCATATCCAACCATCAAACAATCAAACAATACACTGAATAAGAAAATCAAATAAATTGAACCCTATAAAAATATAAAATAAAAAAACTTTAAATAATACAAATATAAGCAAACAAATCCATAAAACACAATCCATGTTTATGTTGTTCATCACAATATATATTTACTTAATTTTTATTATTTGTATGCAATTGCACTTGGGCACATTTGCAGAACAAAGAATGACAAAATGTAAAACCAGTACAACTCTAACAAGAGCACAGCATCAGAATTAACTTTAAGACATGTACTTTGAGGTATTGTCCTGTTTTAGAAATAAATCCTCTACAGTCATCTTTCCATCAACCAAGTTTCTGTGTCAGCTCAATGATTGATTGGCGACGTCACCAACCGGACCAAGAGGTGGCAGCAACTCACCAAAAAGTTTGTTTACAACCATCATAAAACATGAAGAAGAAGAAGAAGAATTTGCCATTCTCGCTATCATATGGATTTACTTTCATCGGTCAGACACCAGCTTCACAGCTCCGTGAATGGCAGTGGTGTCACTTAATGATCAGCGATTGGTAAGTGTAGCTTGTGTGGATGCTACTGTACTACTTGCTTAAAATAGTAGCATCGCTATTGAAAAGCTATTTAATTTTGAAAGTAGTGACGCTACTGCCACGCTACTGAGAAATGTAGTTAAACTAGTAGCACCACTACTTGCACTGCTGCCCAACACTACCTAAAATAAAAACATATTGTAATTCTAAGTGTAGGTTTGCAAGACGGATGGATAAACAATCATATATACAGTTGAGATGATATGGGTATAATTTTAAACCCATTTAGGTGACTAGCTGTTCTGGCAACTCAATGAGTAGCTGTTTGTAAAAAAGTATGCACTTTTGCACATTGCTTCTTCAAAGTTAGATTTGTTTGGAAAGTAAGCTTCAGGGGACTGCTAGAAAACCCTGTAATCGAGGGGGCGGAAAGATTCATTCACTCAGATCTAGTTTTCTTCCTCCCTTTCATGTCAAATAACCCCAAAACCCGAGAGAGTCGGTGTCATAATGAACATTTTCAATTAGAGTGACAAAACGAGCGCTACTAAGAGCTGCACAGGACAATAATAGAACACGCTCAAGAATATCTGACACGAGTGATTGAAAACCTTCATTATACCGAGTGCTTCAATCAATCGCCGTTCAGAGGTAAAGAAAAATCTCCTGTTCGGAACACCTGGGCAAGTGTTCCTATCTAAGTCAATTGGCTGACAAAATTGAAGTAATTCCCCGTGCGCTTAGCTGTCAAGCAATCTTTTCAGAAGCGCGCAGAAAGGTGGAGAAGGGTTTCCGGGGGTGAGAACAGACTGTTATGCATTTCCCTGTGTGACAGTGGAACGACGGTTTCAAGATAATTTCTCTTTTATGACAACTGATGAAAAATAGCATTATGAATGTGATATTCAGGCAGGATATGGGCTTTTGAGTGTGCTTTTCATTTCTCGTCTAATTCAATTGTGTTTTTTGAAGACCTAGTAGTACTGCAGGTATTAGTAGATCGGTTTAGTTCAATTGTTTTGCAAGCACACTACTGTGACGAAATAAAAGAAGATCTGACAGCGAAGCACTTTTCTCGACAATATGAGCTATAATAGGTACAGGAGCTGTTCCAAACGAGCAGAGACGGCTGCATTAAGCAGACGCTGGTGGTTTGTTGAGCATATACTCATGCTCAGAATGCTGTGTCCAATCTCAGCTGGTATCCGTTAACCAGCTCATTAATTTCCTCTGGATATCTTCAGTTAATCTCGGAAAATGCCCATTTGTGGCCGCTTAATGGCACACTGGCGCATAAGCTGATGAATGCAAACACACAAAGAGATGCAGACATACACACTATTTCCTGCTAATGAACTCAGCAGACTTTGAGAGCAAAATACAACAAACTATCGCAGTCTACATAGAAGCAGATGAATAACAGGACGGCGTAGACATTTAGTAGCATCTGTTCAGCGCTCCATAAAAGCGCTCCAGCTTCTGGTGTGAACAGCGAGTGGACCTTTAATGTGTATTTGTTTTCAAAGCTGTCCATGTGTTTTGGCCAAACAGATTTAATTGAACAGCAAGACAAGGGACTCCGTCAGCTCCAACAGTCTACTCTCCTGAGCCGAGCACGTTTGAATGCCTGCAATGCAGCGCTTTTAAAAAGCCTTTCCAGTAACTGGAAAGAATTCAGACAGTTGAAATTAAATTTCCAGTTGACAATAAATTTTACCATGTCTGCTCAGAACATCAATTATACAACTAGATTTCAACATTTTCTGAAGTAAAACGGTCCACAGGGTAAATAAAAATTAAAGTTTGAACGTTTGAGGTTAACGAATACCTCTTTTTAACAAATCCCTTAATATTTTACAAATCCCCCACGTCAGTGTTTCATTCATTCATTCGCTTTCTTTTCAGCATAGTCCCTTTATAAATTTGGGGTCGCCACAGCGGAATGAACCGCCAACTTATCCAGTATGTTTTATGCAGCAGATGCCTTTACAGCTGCAATCCATGACTGTTAAACACCAATGCACTCCCATTCACACACATACACTACAATTTTAGCCTACTCAATCCACCTATACCACATGTCTTTGAGGAAAACCGGAAACCCATGCAAACACAGGGAGAATATGCAAACTCCACACAGAAATGCCAACTGACCCAGCCAAGGCTCAAATCAGCAACCTTCTTGCTGTGAGGCGATCGTGCTACCCACTGCACCACCATGATGCCCGTCAGTCATTCATTCATTCATTTTTGGTTTAGTCCCTTTATTAATCCGAGGTTGCCACAGCAGAATGGACTGCCAACTTATCCAGCACATGTTTTATGCAGCGGATGTTATTCTAGCTGCAACCTATGGCTTGGAAACACCCATACACTCCCATTCACACAAATACACTTTGGACAATTTTAGCCTACCCAATACACCTACACCACATGTTTTTGGACTGTGAGGGTAACTGGAACACCCGGAGGAAACCCACACAAACACTAGGAGAACATGCAAACTCCACGCAGCAATGCCAACTGACCTTGCCGAGGCTCAAACCAGCGACCTTATTGCTATAAGGCAGGGGAGGACTGGGACAAAAATTCAGCCCTGGCACTGTAGTCACACCAGCCCACATTTCCACACCGACACAGCCCCACCCACGGACACGCACATTCACTATTTATTTTGGTTTAAAGATGGTGAAATAATATGACATTCTTGCCAGATTTTGATTATGTCCAGTTAACCTCGGATTGCGTCGGCGCATCTTGAAACCAGACGGCAGTTGCCGATTGGGCCAAATTTTAACATTTATTATTATTATTATTTTTATTATCATCATCATAATATCACATCTAGCAAGAGATAAAAGCTGTCTGCACTTAAGTACAATACATATAAAAAAAACAACAAACTGACCGGCCCACATTTAAAAATTGGTCCGACCCTTCTGGCATTTGCCAGAATTGCCAGATGGCCAGTCCACCCATGCTATAAGGTAATGCTGCTACCCACTGTGCCACAGTGACGCCCTTTATAGTTTCATGTAAGCTATAAAGCAAAAAAATGAATGTGAAAAATTAATAAGTGACTATTTGCAGTGTGCACAAGTCTCGCACATCCTTACTCACAAGAACTGACTTTAAATAAAATGAGAAATAAGAAATACCTGAGGTAGAGCGACTGAAAAGTGAGTTGAATGAACCACCACTAATAGGTGAAAGCACCCTGAACATTATAAAATGCGCTTTGAGCTCTCGAGCCAGTAACGCATTTCACATGCCTGGAAAACAGGCAAAGCAACGCCCAGCATCCTCAGACGCCCAGAGAGCATTCCCAGAAATAAATTTCATTTCTTTGCAAATCAACTTAAGTGAATCGTGGGCATATTTTCCTGTTTGGCTATAGAAGTTCAAAGAGCAATGGGGCAGACTCTCTGACATGCGGTGCATGCCTCAACATGTTCCAGAGCAGCTCTCTCTCTGTTCTTTATTTTCTTGAATTTCCCTCCCCTCCCCCTCCAGGAGCATTTGCACCTTACACCTTGTTTCCCAGCTCTTAAGTGTGTGTGAAAGTTTGCAGGGCTCTCTCCCATATATCTCACACACAGTGAGAGAGAAATGCCCTCACCCTGGCCCCGTAATACTGCCTCTCCCTCCCCCTCAGGCATCTGC